AAGCACCTGAGGGTAGGACAAGAAGCAATGGGTGGAAACTAATCAAGGAGAGAAGCAACCTAGAAATAAGATGAAATTTCCTGACAGTTATAGCAATTAACCAGTGGAACAGTTTGCCTCCAGAAGTTGTGAATGCTCCAACACTGGACGTTTTTAAGAAGAAATTGGACAACCATTTGTCTGAAATGGTGTAGGGTTTCCTGCCTGAGCCAGGGGTTGGACTAGAAGACCTCCAAGGTCCCTCCCAACTCTGTTATTCTAAATATTAAAATCTGTCCTTTGATAGTTTTAGAACAGTGTTTCTCAACCTTGGTCACTTGAAGATGTCTGGACTTCAACTCCCAGAATTCCCCAGCCAGCATTCGCTGGCTGGGGAATTCTGGGAATTGAAGTCCAGACATCTTCAAGTGGCCAAGGTTGAGAAACACTGTTTTAGAAGGATAAAAAAAAACCCACAACAATTATGGTGGTGGCAAAAAAATATATGCATATAGGCAGGATGCAAAGCTGAGAAGCAGGAAATTTTTAAATAATTTATTGAAACTGTTTCAACATACCTTATTGCAGAGGTAGCAAACACTTGTCCATTTGATCCCACACTCAGAACAATAATTGAAGCTATCACAACTATGAGATCTGTTGATAAAGCATATGAACTATTTCAATATCTGCTTAACATCCTTTAGGAAAAGAAATCTTCCACAAAACAGGCCTTGATATTATGTAAAGCTATTTTCTTACACTGGTTTTAAATTAGCCATCCCAGCTTAGAGATATTACCTCGGCTACTCCAGTGTAGTATTTTATTATTTACTAGTCGATAACTCTGGGATGTATTTATTTATCCCAATCCCAATGTATTAGAAGAAGCCCCCTTGTGGAGTACTGTGAAGCTGTTACCAGGGCAACTCCACTGTGCAGTACAGTAGAAGCCATTTTAAGGCACAACAGACTGTTCCTTAACAGAATGTGAATCCAAAATGCACACTATGACTCTCAAAAGTACTGTGACTTTACACTATAGATATAATTCAGCCTTTTTCATTTTGGCGGCCCAGGCGTTCCAGAGTTATGCTGGAAAACACACCCACGGACACCCACACCCCAAGGGGTGTTAGAGGTGTCTTACCCCCACAGTATTTGTCTCCAGAGAGTAAGTCATCTTTGTACCAAGTTTGGTTGAAATTGCTCAAGGTGTTCCAGAGTTATGCTGAAACACACACACACACACACCTACACCTATTTATATATACAGAGAGATTGGATTGTTAATTGCCTAAACATGGCCTTCCCAATCTCAACAACTTTTAAAATGTGTAGACTTCAACTTCCAGAATTTCCCAGCCAGCATTTGAGGGACTTCAATTCTCAGAATTCCCTGGCTGACGTTTGTGGACCCCCGAATTCCCAGCCAATATGCTGTGTAAGGAATTCTGGGAGATGAAGTTCACCCTTGTTGCTGTTGCTGAGAAACACCCAGCATTAGACAACTGGAACGTTATTTAATTTAAAGGAAGGCTCACCTATTATCGATATCGGCTTCCTGGCAAAACGTATGCGGCCTTTGATACCAACATATTTGCTTCTGCAACCTGCAGACCAGAGCCTCACCGTGTATTCAGCACCAAAAAAGACCACCAAGACAATTTCCTAAAATCGGAAACAACGATGGTTATTTTTAACATTCTTTTAAAATATGCACTTACCATTCAGAAATCATTTTATGTTAAAAAGCGGTACAATGTCAGGGACAGCCCCTTCCCTCCTTCCCAAGCCCAAGATACCAAATTTCACACCTGTTCTTGGCACACCTGCACACCCAACAATTCCTACAGCCATACCAGCCATCCGGACAAAACAATGGATCTTTTAGAATCCGGAGGGGGGCGAGATTTCTCATCAAGAAGAATCACACCAAAGGATAATAAAATAGGTACATTTAGCACACAGAGATCCTTGATGTGTTTCTTTCTTCCTCTCTGCTTATAATTATGTAATGAGGAACATGAAATTGTATTGTTTCTCTGAGGTTCTCCAGTGCGCTACCACTAAGCTGTTAAAACCAAAATGTGACTTGGCCAAGGGGCACAATCAAGACAGCTTCCTTTTGGGGTATTCAAACAAATCAACATTGACCAGCATCCAAATTCCCAAACATTCCAAATTAAGAGGAAAAGAGGAGGGGATGGGGAGGAGGATGATATTGGTAAGCAAGTAAATAAACTGGATTCTGTGAATAGCAAATAAGCTGTGAGATTCATTGACATTAGATTGATATAGTTTCAATTAAGAGGTAAAAGTAAAGGTTCCCCTCAAACATATGTGCTTGTCGTTCCCGACTCTAGGGGGCGGTGTTCATCTCCGTTTCAAAGCCGAAGAGCCAGAGCTGTCCGAAGATGTCTCCGTGGTCATGTGGCTGGCATGACTAAAGGCCGAAGGGGCAGGGAATGCTGTTACCTTCCCTCCAAAGGTGGTTCCTATTTTTCTACTTGCATTTTTACGTGCTTTCAAACTGATAAGTTGGCAGAAACTGGGACAAGTAATGGGAGCTCACTCCATTACATGGCGCTAGGGATTCCAACCGCCGAACTGCCGACCTTTCTCATCAACAAGCTCAGGGTCTTAGCCACTGAGCCACCATGTCAAAATAGCAGCTTACGGTATGTAATAAATAAATCTGGTCTTTTCACTTGTTCACTTTTTCATAGAAAGGTCCCAGCATATCTGTACTATGCAATTTATCTAATATTTCAAAGTAGATCACTTACCATCCAAAAAAGTGTTCCGGTGGCAAATTCTGCGTAATGTTCTATAGTAGACAGAACANGACATGATAGCAGTCTTCCAATATCTCAGGGGTTGCCACAAAGAAGAGGGAGTCAAACTATTCTCCAAAGCACCTGAGGGCAGGACAAGAAGCAACGGGTGGAAACTAATCAAGGAGAGAAGCAACTTAGAACTGAGGAGAAGTTTCCTGACAGTGAGAACAATTCACCAGTGCAACAACTTGCCTCCAGAAGTTGTGAATGCTCCAATGCTGGACATTTTTAAGAAGAGGTTAGACACTTCATTTGTCTGAAGTGATGTAGGGTTTCTTGCCTGAGCTGGGGGTTGGGCTAGAAGACCTCCAAGGTCCCTTCCAACTCTGTTGTTCTATATTCTACTTAATCGAATGAACTGAGTAGCTGGGGGGGAAAAATACAAAGAGTGAAAACTAACCAAGATAAGTAAGGATGTTGTGTGAATGCTGCCGGTTTTTAACTGGCCCTAATTGAAGGCGTTGGTCGAAGGCAGCTTTTCTTTCTCTGAAATACGTATTCGCTGGCAAATTGGACACAAGAGCAAAAGCATTTTAAGGAAGAAGGACATTCGCCATGAAAGAGGCTCCTCTTTTGGTTTCCTGTTTCTGTTTAACTCACATGTTCACTGGGGAAGTGCGCGGGGGGGACGGGGGACACACACATCAAAACAAGAATGAGAACAAACCACTTTTTAGTTGTGATCAATTAAAGAAAGGGGAATTGGACCGGGGGAGTGGGGGGTGACACCTGCGTATTTCATCCACTGGATTTTCTTGGCTCTTGGTAACAGTCAGAAGATTGGAAAGGAAAGGGGAGTGCAGGGGGGTTGGACTAGAAGACCTCCAAGGTCCTCTCCAACTCTCCTAATCTGTTACTGTGGATTTGGGGAGGAAGCCCCCATATTTTGGCCTCAAGTATGAAATAAGACCAGTCACCAGCTGGATCTATAAATCTCATTAAGCCATGTTTACTATGAACATAGTGGCCGATTTTGCTCATACCGATAGGCCATAATTAGTGGCTTATAAAACAAGGTTCAAAACCAAATTTGCTTTGGATTAAAGAGTATATATGACAATTCAGCCTCAGGAGTTGTGCTTGCTTGCTTTGCTCGTCTCGGGGCACAAACCCAGCTGATGTGAGGTTTGGTTAACAACTCTGTGGTTTAGTGTAACAAGTTGTTGTGGCCAGTGCCAGTGGCCAGGGAAGCTGGCGGAAGATTCGGACAGTGAGGAGGGTTGGGGAGGAACCTGGGCCAGTCCTGGAGTCTGGGGGAGGCTCTGGTGAGGGCTCCATGTCGGAGGCAGAGAGGGGGCCAGGGCCG